ACCAATTAGCTATGAGTGCTCTCCCAACTATCCAGCAGGTAGTCAACGTCCATTTAACTCAGAAGTGACCCACAAAGCCTCTGAAATCTTGTGGAAAGCGATAACCATCGAAAACACAGTTGAAAACACGTAAGAAAACGTCACAGCACGACTGGGACGACCGGTCGCCAGTTCCTGGCGACCTTCCCTCCAGACTTTGAATCTGCTCTGGACAACCGGTCGCAAAGAACTAGCGACCGGTCGCTCTTCAGTTTTGCTCCAGACTTCGAATCTGCTTCTAACGACCGGTCGCAAATGCCTAGCGACCGGTCGCTTGAGGCAGACTCAAAAATCCTTCTTTCAGTGCCAAAAAAAACCTTGTATCCTTAGGTGAGCCATTTTTTCCAACATCAACCCCCTCTCGGTTGGTCGATGTGGGATCTTACATTAGGTGAAGGGGTAAATTAAAACCTCAATGGACAAATGTAAGACAACAATGATTAATTCTTCCTAGTAACAATATGACTAGTCAACTACTGGTCATAGACCTATGAACAACACCGAATACACAGATCCAAATCCCCTAATCAAATAGATCTAACAATGGCAATGATCAAATGAACTAGCAGAAATATGGCAACTAGTCATAAACCTAAGAACACACAGCAGAATACTCATTCATTCACCAATCAATTCTCAAGCCCTTGGAAACAAAGAAGATGACTAAGTGAGAACCTAGGCACTCAGAAGGATCCATCAATCTAGGCATCCCCAGTGCTAGCAACAACTAAAGTGAAGTATGTGCGAAAATCAATCAAAACAATAAACAGAAACAATCAGATGATAACTAGTCAACCAGCAAGAACAAAACACCAGCAAATTGGTTACCCAGATTTGGTGTGATAATGTGCCCTATCTTGCTATGGTAAATCCAATCGTGTGTTTCATTCTCAAACCAAACATTTAGAGGTTGATTATCACTAAGTTCGAGAGAAGGTGGTTCAGGGAGAATTGCTTGTTCATTTTGTTTGTTCACAAGATCATATTTATGATCTTTTTACCAAAGGGTTGTATACTGTGCGGTTCAAATACTTGGTGTCCAAGCTTCCCGTTGTTTCTCGTCCTGTCAGCTTGTGGGGGGATTTTATTCAAAGCTTATGTGCTTGTTCAAATTCAAATTCTGTAACGGGTGTGGAGAAGGAGTCTTAGTCTGTATGAACTTCTTCAGTTGTAATCTGATATGGTTTTTATTTGTATTTCAAATGTATCATTTTGGCTACCACTTATATAGGGATACGATGTAATTTTTGTAACTGATACATTTGTTTTGCTAATATAAGTAGTTGTTCCATCGTGTTGATGGATACAAGCTCATCAAACTATTCTTGACTTCTCTATTGTTTTACAAACCCTAGATGAGAGGATGGGAAGGTTTTGCGGTATGGTTGAATGATTTTGGGAAGGAGGCAATTCGGACTCATGAAAACATTTTTCTCTGCTACAATCTACTTGTTTTAATTCTAAACATGTCTATTAAAATTCATCCAAAGGTTAAAAACGTGACACCACACCCACATATTTCATATGCCAAGAAATACTGTAAGGCATATTCGATAAGGGTAAAATGCTCTTTTTTTCAAGTTGGGAAACGCAGGTTAAAATTCTAGGTAACATGAAGTAAGTTGCAAGCCCAAACCGTATTCACGTTTATTATATTAACAGGCGAACAAAAGAAAATTTAAGAGTTCATTTAAAACCCTAAGGATAAGACAAAAGAAAAACCATGTTGCCGCCTTCTTGTGGGTCAGTGGCCACCCTCCTTCCCTCCCCTTCCTCCACTCCCCCTCCCAGTTCTTCCACTCAGCTCTCCATTTTTTGTATTTTTTGTTTTGCGGTGTGGAATCAGTTGTTGTCGTGACAGTCATCATCTTTTGGCCCATGTACATAGCTACCACAAGGACTTGGCTCCAATTCTCAGCTTTGACATGGGTTTGGAGCCACAAGGCGGGGATGTTGCTGGGCTGCGTAGGGTTTGGGTTTAGCTAGTATGGTGCTATGGCTCTATTTGATATGCACGGGAGTATACAGTCAGGTAGCTCTACTTTTTAGTTTGTTTATGTCTAATAATTTTACAAAACTCTTTAGGAGCTTGTTTTGTTTTGCATTCTCTTATTCAAAGGTTTTATTTAACGAAATGCACAAGGTGAGATCCCAACAAACTAATATCTAGTAACTACAAAAAATTTATTGCCTCATAAAAAAATAGGTAGTAAACTAGCAAAACAATGAAATCCTGACATGTTTTATTACGTTGTGGTCAACAATGCTCCTTGTCGTATTTCTTTCATGTGTTATGTTGCCTTCCATAAAAGCAGTGATTCTAGAGTTAGTTACTTGGTAGCCACAACGAACTTGAGGTTTATTTGTTTAATGAAATGCAGGAGGTGAAAAGAATTGTAGTTTTACCCTCGAGAGTGGGAGCTTTCAATAAACAGGGTATTAGACCCCATGAACTATTTGTTGTGAAAATGGACAAACACTTTCACTCACTCCCTTAATGATCTTGTTGTTGATGGACTTTGTGACACACACAATGATGGACAAATCACACACACACACTTGAGAAACCAATCAAGCACAAAGTGACACAAGTATTTTAGAAGTTCAGCAATTGCCTACATCCTCTTGGTGATCCCCTTGAGAAATTCACTAATGAAAGAATAAATTACAACTTTGGTTTACAAAGAAACCCCCTTAGAACTCTATTCTCTCCCAAGCTCTCTTTTCTCTCTCACCCCTTGCTCAACACTTTGATGCACTAGTACTTGTGAACACTCTCTCACACTTGGTGTTTTACTCCTTTGGTGTCTAGATGTTGCGTAGATTTCAGCTGCACCAAAATGGATTCAGCTGCATCCTCAACTTGTGATACTCGCAAGTGCACGAACCGTTGGTAGTTTAGCGTATGTAAGTGCGAGGTCGATTCCACAGGGATTGGTGATTGAATGATCCAATTCATTTTCCCTACACAAAACAGAAATGAAAAAGAAGGGAAATAAATAAAAACAAGGAAGAAAGAAAATAACTAACTCAAGCAGATAAGTTCCCAAGTTCAATTATAAGTTCAATTAGATTAACGGATTGATTCTAGCTAAGTATGATTAAGCCATGGTGTTTGGTCATAACCTTGTGTTCCTAATTCCCTAATTTGATCATTTGTTGTCTAACCTAAAATTAAGCATTAGGAACCCATTAAGCATAGAAGAACAATTTAAACAACGTTTGGAGCCGCAAGGCGAGGATGTTACTGGGCAACGTAGGGTTTGGGTTTAGCCGGTATGGTTCTATGGCTCTATTTGATATGTACAGGAGGATACAGTCAGGTGGCTCTGCTTTTTAGTTTGTTTATGTCTAATAATTTTACGAAACAATTCAGGAGCTTGTTGTGTTTTGCATTCTCTTATTGAAAGGTTTTATTTAATGAAATGCACGAGGTGAGATCCCGACAAACTAATATTTAGTAACTAAAAAAATTTGACGTGCCTCATAAAAAATAGGTAGTACAAAAGTAAACAAGCAAACAATGAAATCCTGACAAGTTTTATTACGTTGTGGTCAACAATGCTCCTTGTCGTATTTCTTTCATGTGTTATGTTGCCTTCCATAAAAGCAGTGATTCTAGAGTTAGTTACTTGGTAGCCACAACGAACTTGAGGTTTATTTGTTTAATGAAATGCAGGAGGTGAAAAGAATTGTAGTTTTACCCTCGAGAGTGGGAGTTTTCAATAAACAGGGTATTAGACCCCATGAACTATTTGTTGTGAAAATGGACAAACACTTTTACTCACTCCCCTAATTATCTTGTTGTTGATGGACTTTGTGACACACACAATGATGGATGAATCACACACACACACTTGAGAAACCAACCAAGCACAAAGTGACACAAGTATTTTAGAGGTTCAACAATTGCCTACATCCTCTTGGTGATCCCCTTGAGAAATTCACTAATGAAAGAATAAGTTACAACTTTGGTTTACAAAGAAACCCCCTTAGAACTCTATTCTCTCCCAAGCTCTCTTTTCTCTCTCACCCCTTGCTCAACACTTTGATGCACTTGTGAACACTCTCTCACACTTGGTGTTTCCCTTCTTTGGTGTCTAGACTCTCAAGACCCAACTCAGCTCCCTCTTGAACCGATTGCCCTCTCTCTCTCTTCCTCCCTTGGTAAGTTCAACCTCTTGGACACAATAGCTCCCAGCTACTTGACCACTCCTTGAGATTAACCACTCCCTTGCTGTCTTGCTTCCTCTTCCCTTTAATACACAAGCCTTTGGACTTAGGAGAAGGCTCCATCTTTTCCTCCCACGTTCTCCCCTTGGTTTCCAGACTAGGACCACAACTTGGGCAGAACAAAGGCTAGTCATTAGTGGCTGCACCTTCAGCCACCCTATCTAGAGTCATAGGGTAGGTACTCCTCGAAGCAAGTCAACAAACATCATTCAATGGTGCTCCAGCTTTTCCAGCACCTTGCTAGACTTCTTAGAACCCCTAAAACTCTTTGGAGGCTCGAGGGATTAGGTAGGGAACAAGCACATGTGAAGACAACTTGAAAAACGAGTGAAAAAATGAAACAGCGCATCTGGCGACTAGTCGCCCGTCACTGGCGACTGGTTGCTGAAGACTCTGCCAAAAAGTGACCAGTCGCTTGCTCCTGGAGACCGGTCGCTGGTAGCGATTTCCAGCTTCTTCGACTCTGCTTCAAAACGATCGGTCGCCAATTCCCAGCGACCGGTTGCCCCCTGTTTCACTTGCATCCTAATTGTGAGCCAAATTTCCAACACTATTTACCCAGAACCATAATAAATTGAAGGAAGAAGGAGAAAAGTGGATGAAAGATACAAAAACTTCTTGTACAGTTGTAGGTGCTCTCACTATTACCATCATGTTTGCTGCAGCCTTCAGGGTTCCTGGTGGAAACAATGGGGGACAGGCTTTCCCTTGCTCTTAGATGAAAAGAGGTTTAGGGTTTTTATAGTTTCAGATGCTATATCACTCTTTTCTTCCACAACTTCAGTGTTGATATTTTTGGGAATCCTTACATCACGATATGCAAAAGACGATTTCCTCAAATCCTTACCCACAAATATGATAATCGCACTACTACAAAAAAGGAAAAAGACGACGGGAATTCACCGTCGTGAATTTGGTTTTCAAACCGTTGTAAAATCGAGCGACGTCTTTTGCAAAGTAAAACCACGACGCGAAATCACCGTCGTTGGTATTACAAACCACGTCATTAACAAAAAACAACCGCCGTCTGTATACTGAAAAATGAACCAAAAAATTGTCCTGGAGAAGAATAGACGACCTATTTTATACAACATCCGTCGTGTAAAAGCATACAATACGTCTTTAAATAAATAAACTATGACGTTATTAAATCATACGACGTCCAATATATTTATATAACCGTCGTGCAATAGTATTGACACTTCGTTTTTTCCATTAATATTGACGTGGAAATAGCGGTTAGGTGTAAATCATCGTCGTTGTTGTAACAAACAACGTCATTTACAAAAAAAAACCGACGTCTGTACACTGAAAAACCAAAAAATTGTCCTGGGAGAAGAATAGACGACCTATTTTATACAACAACCGTCGTGTAAAAGAAAACAATACGTCTTTAAATAAATAAAATACGACGTTATTAATTCATACGACGTCCAATATATTTATATAACCGTCGTGAAATAGAATTGTTACTTCAGTTTTTCCATTAATATTGACGTGGAAATAGCGGTTAGGGGTAAATCATCGTCGTTGTTGTACCAAACAACATCCTTTACAACAACAAAAAACCGACGTCTGTATACTGAAAAATGAACCAAAAAATTGTCATGGAAAAGAATAGACGACCTATTTTATACAAACACAGTCGTGTGTATATATATACTACGTCTTTAAATAAATAAAATATGACGTTATTAATATATACTACGTCTTATATATTTACATAACCGACGTGGAAAATATGTTAGGCTCATGACTTACGACATATTTATTTCTATAAACGACGTAGTATGTGATATACAACGTCGTGATAATGTAAAAGACAACCGTGTTTCTCTATTTATACGTCGTCTTTAGTAAAATAATAGTCGTCTAATCCATCCAAGACGTCGTCTTTTGTAACGTTCAGGTTCGATATCTGTCCTTTTAGACGTCGGTATTATTGTACTGAAGTCGTGTTATTTGTAATTACATGTCGGCTCTTTATCCTTCTCTGACGTGATATCGTTAATAACTGTTTCACAATAACGTCGTCTTTTTTCACTTTTAGTTCGCTTTTAGGCGTCGGTAAATTCAATGCCGTCGTTGAATGCTCCAAAACGTCATTTTTATTGACAATTTTATGACAACAGACGTCTGTTTTTCACAGTTTTATAAGGACCGTCGTTTTATAATACTGAACCAGTATTTTATGTACTGATTGTTTTGTGTCCAAAACCTGCATAATGAAAGTGAAGAAAACACATTACAATTTATTGCAAAATTAATGTCATACAGTAGTGCTGTTTAGGGCATAAATAATTTCATAAATTACAAGAGCATCATTCAATCCATATATCTTCACACCCATCTCGAATATTTTGACTCCCAAACTCACCCACTAGTTCATCAAATGTGTCAACATTTGGCATCCCTCTAGTAAATGGCTCACACTCAATTCTCACATCACCTAAGACATCATCACCAATAACATCATCATTATATTCTCTATTAGGCGCTGATAACACTACCGACCAACCATGATGCATCGGGTCGTCAACAAAAAATACTTGTTTGACTTGAGAAGCCAAAACAAATTGGTCATTCCTATGTCCAATTTTACTCAAATCTACAAGGGTAAATCCAAGTCCGTCGACTACAAGGCCGGAAGTACTATCTATCCAATAACGGAAGTACTATATATCCTATTATCTATAATAAGGTGAAAAGACAAGCAATGACTATCACTATAGCAGATTATATAAGGTTTTAATAGCAAATAATATAGTAAACAAACGACGGTTTTTAAACAACAACAGACGTATTACACATATATAGACGACGAGTTTTAAAAAAACGTCGTCTAATGCTAGCAAGAAACAGACGCCAGCGAACTTGAACCACGACGGTAGTTAAAACAAGCGTCGTGGTATATTTTTATAGACGACGGTTTGTTAAAACAAGCGTCGTCGTATGCATAAAAAAGATTTCGAAATCCCAGTTTATTTTCAAGAACCCAGAATATATTCAGA